GCGTGAATGAGAGCATCATTTGTAACCACAAAGAACAATTCAGAACCAGTACGCACTTTCAGGCCAGCAGTGTCAAAACAGGACTGCAAGCCTACTGTTATTGAGTAATCCTATTAAGATGTGTTGTAAATTCACAGGTATTTCAGAATGCTATGGCTGTGTCTGCCAAAAACATTGAATACCAGAGGTCAAAAAAACAATTTGTGCTGATATAAAATGTCCAGAATTTTCCATTGATTGGATAAGTCCAGGGGCAGCATGGTGGTGCAGTGGTCAGCATTGCTGCTTCGTAGCGCAGGGTCCTTGGGTTCAGTTCTGGACTGTGTTGAAGATGCTTGTTCCCCCTGTGTGTGGGTTTCCTCCCATAGTCCTAAGACAGGTTGGTAGGTCAATTGGCTTCTAGGAAAATTGGCCTTGGTGTGAGTGAGTTAGTGTGTGCCCTGTGATGAACTGGTGTCCTGTCCAGAGTCTATCCTGCCTTGCACCTGCTGCTTGCTGTGATCAGCTCCAGCTCCACCAAGACCCTGAGGTGGATGAAGTTATTAAATGGTTTAGTCCAGGGGAGGAGCTGGATCAATTGTGCAGCATTGAAAAGTGATTAATTTGAGGGAGCATCCTGCAGTATAATACATGCAATGCTTTTGCAAAAGGCCTAAGTGAAAGATATAGCAATACCAGCACTTTAAAAACAGATATGACTCAATATTTAAAGCACTCAGGCACTTAAATCCTCATTGCTTCCTTAAGGGATTTAAGTACCTAAGTGTTTTGAATATATGGCCCATACTGTCTCGTATCAGTTTTACATGTGCTTGATCTCTGTTGTTTTATTGCGTCTAACAAATCTGCACCTGAGATCTTTCAGCCACGGTCTGTCACATGCTATTGTCAGCACAGGAGAGCACTGCTCTGCATCTTCCTTCCAACAAAATTCCTTACAGGTTTATCAATTGAAATAGATTGTAGATTTAAAGCGGAATCAGCTCAGTGATCAAGACAAGTTTTTAAAACTTTGTAGCACACTGTGACATCACTGGGGAGGTAGCATGCCTCTTTAAAATTTCTAATTATAATCAGAACACAACATATATTGTGTAACGAGACATTTCAGGAAAAGCATTTCAAAAGGATGTTGCACATGTGCAAACTTACATCTTCACTCCTATATATAGTTTAAAAACCAGAAGGTGGAAGAGAGAAAGGTGAATATTGTACTATACTTTTCTGCTCTTATACATTATTTTAGTGTCATATAGTGCATTCTGAGAACAGACGTGGGGCAGGCAGGAATAGTTAGGGCCCGATACTTGTCACTGGAAGGTTGTGGGTTCAAATCCTGTGTGAGGTGGTGTTGTTATACCCCCTGAGCCAGATACTCCACTGTTACCTGATTAAGTAATGGTTAGCTAAGACACTCTAAATTCTTGGAAGATCTAAGCAGAAATAAAGGATTTTTTCGTGTGGTGGGTTTCCTTTAAATGTTTTGCTTGATTTCTCCAAGAATCCTTTTTTTTTCCACTTAAATAATGCTTTCAAAATAAAGTGTAATCAGTAATGCCACAGTATTCCCATATACTACACAGAGAGAGACTAAGATAATAGACGGAGATTGCCTTGTGGGTCTGACTCTGGGATACAGTATGTCATTAGCCAATTCAGATTAGTGAGTGAGGGCTTCCTCACCTCTCAATGCCAAAGTACATCCTGTGGCCTCCTAGGCACATACAGGCATATGGATGATCCTCCAGTACAGTCCTTTTCTGACTTTCTATTTTTTCTTGAAGGTAGGTGGAGCTGTCTGTGAGAGAAGCTCCTTTCCCCCAATCAGCACTGATCTTCCAGTATGGGGCTGTTCTGTCTGTGATGTTTTCTCAAATGTGGGTGGAGCAGTCACTGAGAAATGCTCCTCTCCTTCAGTCAGTACTGTCCTTGCAGTTGGGCAGGGCGGAGAAGTCCGCCCACAAGTCTTCATTCTCCCCTGTGTGCAGTCACTGGGTTCATTGCTGATGTGAAACTTATACCTTAGACACTTCCATATCAAGACACCTGAAGAAGGCTCCACGGCCGAAACGTTGTGTTCTCTTTCTTCTTTTTTTCAGCATGGAATAAACCTATTACTTATTCCTCTGCAGCCTACGCATGCTGACGCAGCTACCCAGCTGAACTACTAACAGATATAATTGTCAATCTTAAATTTATTTAAAAAAATAAATGAGAAACGAGAGATTCTCTGAACAAGACTCCTTGACCAGCGTTTAATATGATTCAATCACCATGTTCAATCCAAGTAACCCCTGAAATACTGTAAACCGCATCAGGTTTGTAATAATAAATATATTTTAATGATAAAAGCAGACAAGACAAAAATGGAAGTGGTAGACTTATAAATTACAGTCAACTGGTAACTGAAACTTAAGCAGTTTAAACAGATGGAAATTTGTTTTTTGGCCAAGTCTGGTGAGCTTAAGAACTGTGTGCTGTACCCACTCCAAAAACTAAATTAAACTAATGAAGTCAACCCAAAGGACTGTACGTCAGGCTAAAACCATGAAACTTGCACCCAATGACACAAATGGAAATTACAAGGCATTGAATTTAGGTCTCAAATTAGGAGGATGGCCAAACAAATTTCAATCAGGTCACTCCCATGGATTTCTGTAAGGTCACATGAAGAAAGAACCATTTGAGCCATATTATGCAAAACCCAGAGTATTTGAATAGGCAAGACAGGTCATTTGAGTGCTGTCTGACATTTTCCACCAAGGAAGAGTACTGACAGAGCCAAATATCTTCGACCACTGCCTCTTCTTCTAGTGTCAGTGTCTGAAACAAGGTGCATCCAGTTATATTTATTACTTACCCAGCATGTCATTTAATCTAGAGATTGACAAATTGAGCAGAACCAGAGTAACTACAAAACAACAACAGAGAAGGAAAAACAAGGTATTCAGGATAACTGTTATTTCACATAACACTATTTTAGTGATATAGCTAGGCACCAAAGTTTATTTAGTAAATAATGAATGCCTTGCTTCCACCTTCCTTTGTTTAAATTAAAAGGCAAAGTGAAAAGTATTCTAATCTGCTTGCATGTTCTGGGTGATTTCATCAGAAACAGGCTCGAATGAATCGTTAACAGCCAGTTCAGAGATTTTACAGTTGTCATTATCCCACTAATCTGTATCTATATAAATATAAACAATCACGGTGTCTTCTGCTTTGGAAACATCTCATGCCTTCCTACTGCATATCTTTCAGAATGTCTGCCCTGTGTCATCCAGGTGGGGGCAGCAGTTCAGTGTGGGTGACTGGGTTCCCTCCAATAGAATATTAGTATTATACGCCCATACTGAGCACCGACACCGGAAGTTTACAGCAGATGTGTCAAAATAAGCAGCATTTACACTTACTACAGAGCTTCTGAAAAATGCCCAACAATAGCAAAACTGAGTAAGAATAAAACTATGTTTTATAAACCATGTTGTGACTTGTAGGTGTCACCAACCTACAATCAGTGCCTTTTATTTTGGATATTCTTTTCACATTTGCATCATTAAATAATTAAATGCTCTTAATTGTTCTTCATGCAGTACTGGATGGTTAGCTATATTTGATCATTTCTTCAATTATTAAAACACATTATATTACAAGTCTAAAAAAGTCTACTTCTGTATTAAAATAGTTTCACACCATGCAATTGCTTTAATGGATTTCTAAATTGTTGCTTTTTATATATTGTGTTTAAATTGCAGCTAGATATATCTGACAGTTATAATTAATATACAATTACTGTATATGAAGTATGTTTCCGAGTTTTCAAATAGTATTGGCTCTGATAAATATTTCCTGTGCCTGGAAACTACGTGTCACAAGTTTTAACGCTCAGACAGTAGCAGGTGAGATACTACCTACAGTATGTCCTTATTTGAGGACACTGGGAGAGAAGCAAATATTCCCATCTCCTCATCTACCCCTCCCCTGCTAATGTCTGAAGGACCCATTTAGAAGAGAAGGAGCAGTTATCTGCACAAAGACACACAAGGAAAACAAACATTACCAACAGAGAAGACGGTACAATAGTGTTAAAGGAGATACACTGATTTTTAATAAACTAGTAGATCTGATTTAATATTTGATGCATACAAGATTATCGTAGGAACCTTTTTTACAGTATTTGTGAAAACAAAATGAGGTAAAGGTTCAAACTGCAATTTAATAACTGTCCATGAGGAGTTCATTTTCTTATTAGTGCTGTTGACAGATTTCACGAGCCAGGTTGGGAATAAACTCATAAAATACTATATGGATGTAGTGTGTATATACTGTATACTCTGGGCCTGTGATTGGTCTCTGTGTGAAGAGCGTACATATTATTGTATGATAGCATACAACATTTTTGTGATTGTTTCTATTGATGTTTTTGCACCACAACACCAGATCAAATTCCTTGTAGATGTAACTTATCATGTAATAACCAAGCTGTACTTGGCAAATAAAGTTATCACAAACCAACAGAGCATGATACTAATGTAGCTGCACATAGACCGATACTCATAAGGAACAGAAGAGAGGCAACACCTTGATCCAGTTCAGTAAAGCATAGTGAAGGCCAAGCCATAAAACAACATAGCAAACCTAAAAAATGTGAAAAATTGTATTTGCATTTTTAGCATAGCTATTTAAAACCAGGCACAGGACTGTTGCCATGAACGCAGTAAGGATCTTCAGGGCTTTAGTTAGAATATCACGATTTCTGTCCAAACAATTAGATACAAACAAAATGATCATCTAAATGTCATTTTAATAATTGTTGCAGCCCGAAGCAAATTAAAACACGTATCTTTACCACAGCTGGCAAAAAAGAGGAAAAAGAAGAACAACAAGCTAGTGTAATTTGAATAATTTGTGTCCTACATATAATTTGAATGGTGTCTGCACAGGCTACAGAACATTTCAAGGTCATGTGCAAACATTTTCAAAGTATAATCGCAGGACTTCATGTGACCAGACATTTTTGAAGAGAGCAGAGGGTTACACAGTGAGGTCCTGTGGCAGTGAAGGACCATTTCAGCCACTCAGGTCTGGGGCTGAGATAAAGGGAGCCGTGTACACACAGCAAAAATGTCAATATTCATGTTCGTTAACAAGATGAAATAGACAAAAAAACAGTACAGCAGGAGAGACAGGTCCGACAGGCAGAGTATAAAATTCATCTTTTGCTGAATTCAACAGTGTGGACAGAATATGAAGAAAAAGTGGATTCTGTTCATTGTCCTGGGTGAGTGTCCTTTCACTTTAACTTTGAATTAAATTGCAGAGGGATACTAGATACTAGATCTTTTGAGATGTGTGCGCAAGCTGCATGGCATGTATGTTAAACTGTTATTAGTGTAATCAGAATGTAATGAATGCTAATGAAGGAGAAAAGGCCATTGGGCCAATAAATGAAGTGTGATTAAAAGTTGTATTGCCATCATTAGTGGATTGCAAGGATCTTTCTATTAGAATTGCAAAGATTTGCAAACAGTCCTAAGCATTTCCATAATTGCTCTGTCTAATCACTGAGGGAGGAGGGCGTGGGGTGGGGATGAGAGGTCTCTACAGAATGAAAGTGTCAGTACTCTTGTTCACTTGTTGAGTCAGTCTCATGCTTCTGTTAGTGTGTAAGGAAATTCGACTGTCTAGAAGACACCGTGAATGCAAGCAGACATACTTCATTGGTTACGGGACAATATTAATTACAGCAAACTGCAATTAATTCATTGTTTATGTAACTGTGTAGATTACTGGGGAGATACATCTAAAGCAATTTTCAAAAAAGTAACACCCTTCAGTAATTCTCATAAACCTTTCTGACAGAGGACTTTCTGTCAAAAAGACAGAGGAAAGATTGATCTGCAGACCCCCAGGATAAGTGAATCTGCTGTACTTTGTACCAGATACGCAACATTGTTGACATTGCAGGTGTATAGTACCTCAACTTTTACAGTCCTACGCTATCCTTTATTCTTCTTGAGGGCCAAGATGAAGCACAGCTCTTTCACAGTTGTTTCATTACAAATACTGTACCCTGCTGAGTCTTGAGAGTTCGCTCAGCAGAAAGGGAAAGGTACTGTACAGAGCAAATAAGTTGATCTAAACTCTTTCATCATGAAAGTCCCCCATAACTGTATTTTTGTCTTTTCTTTTTACATTTACATTCTAGAATTGACTCTCAAGCTATCTGGTCATAACATGTGGTCACTTCTGGGACTCTAACCTAAAAGTTCATGGCTCAGCTAATTGTGTGTAGCAATTTTAGAGTGGGTAAGGGTGTGCCATTCTACCAGATGCTGTATTGTCCAGTTTGTTCTCAGATCTTCTAATAGGTGATGGCTTTGAAATGTTGTTGGTACTGACTCGTCTTCAGGATGTTTAGCTCCAGGATCTTGACCAGGCTATGCACTGACATTGGTTTAGTGACTGTGAGACTTTCACCTGAAGCATTCAAGTTGTAAAACCTCTTTTCTAAATTCATTTTACTTTTTTTCCAGCTTGGCACCAAACCTTTTGCTTAACAGTTGCCAAATTTACAACCACGTCTGTCTCAACTACAGGTAAGCATTCCATTGAAACATTGTTGTGATTGTCTAGACATTGTGTTTTCTGTAATATTGCTGGATTTACCGGTAAGGGACAATGGTGAGGCACTGAAGGCTGGGTTCAAGAGCAGGTGAGTAGCAGAACTGCAGCAATGAAGCAGGCTGGCAGAAACACAATCCAACATTGGAAACCAGTGCAGGCAGAGGTCAAAGCCAAGTAGACCCAGGAATATTGGACCAAAGGCAAATCCAAAAACAAAGATGTAGAAGAAAGCCAAGTTCAAACCAGGGAAACACAGAAACAAAGCACAGAAAAACCTCAAAACATAGTCAAACAAGCAGCCAGTGCACAGAAGGTAAGTACATAATGAATGAACACCATTTCATGAAATCCTTGAAAATGATTTTCTGGGTCCTTTAATAGTCTGACCAAAGCAAATGTATTGGAATGCCTGTGTGTTTGCTCTTACAGTCATTAATGTACAACATGTACAATAGTGGCGACAAGACCACTATGGCACTATGGTGATCCAGTGGAAGTGTAGCAAATGTCAATTAACCACTGACACATTTCCCCAATGTGACCTGTTGATACCTGTTTATGAAGAAATGTAGGACCACCTTCTTTGAGAGTTTCTGTGTGAACAAAGGTGGTTTTATTATATTAAAAGCAGAGGAATATCATGAAATAAAATCCTAACAAATGTCTTTGCTTGTTTAAGATGCTGATAGATCAAATATAACAGTATGAGTATTGCGTCATCTACTCCACTGCTTTCTCTGTGTGCAAACTGCATGGGGTCTGTGTGTCATCTGTAATGGGTTGCTTAACTATTCTCTTCTGAATTTCCATTGGAAGTTTTTAGAATGGGAATAGTAGTAGATTTCTTTCTAAATGGGGACGATTTATAAATTTAAGGTCTTCTGAAAATGTGAAAATGTCACATAGTTGATCTGCAAAGATCTTGATTTCTCTTTTCCTCTCCAGCGGTGCCAGCTGTGATGCTGATGATAGCTTCCTCCTGTCAATGATGCAGGACTGTGGCATTATAGGCAGTTTTGCTTTGTTTTGTCATTGGAGGTCTTGCAACACTTTCATGATTTCATCATTAGCTTTTCATGATTTATCATGATCCTCTTGGTCAAACCAGCAACACTGACCTCCTGCAGTACAGAGAATCACATGATCTGTCTTGGTAGAGGCATTTCTAGAGAGCAATCCTTCAAGCTGAGTTCTCTCTGCTCTGTAGGCAAACACATTGTTGTGTGCCTCTACACTTTGCTACCTTTTCCCATTCAGTTTGTTCTTTTTAATCTTCACACTCGTCAGTGTTCTCCAGAATCACCAGAATCAAGTAATTTGATGCTTATGGTCAGCCTCATTATAACATTAGTAGCTCACAAGCAGTGTGTTCAGTCATTTGATTGGCTGTTGGCTGATACAGAGCACGGTGAAAAATAATTACCTGCCTGCAAGGTCATTTGAATTCTGTGGTTGTGTGTTTTTGCATTGAAACAAGTCCTATTATCACCCTCTTAATGTGAAGACATCCCCATAATGATTTCAGAAATAACACATCACACCCTCTTCAAAACAAGACCGCTATAACGCTACATGAGCTAAAGTGTCATAGAAAACAAGAAACATTGTTAAGGCATCATCAATGTGGAAATTTAATGAGCAAAAACCTTAGCATACAGGATTGTAGTTTTATGACATTGGATGGAGGGGACATTGCTTTAAGAACTGTTAAACCCAAATTAAAATGTGGAATTGATTTTATTAGGTTTAATTTCAGAATTGGTGGTTGCATCCATAACAATTCCAAACCTAATACTCTTACAGACATCGATGAGTGTGCAGCCAATCCCTCAATCTGTGGTCCCAACGCACGATGTACCAACACTGCTGGGAGCTACAGCTGCTCCTGTGACACTGGATACACGCCCCCTGCTGGAGCCACTCTGACCAGCAACTCAAACCCCTGTCAAGGTAAGAGCTGCTCCTCAGTAGTGCAAACTGTTTGCTGTTATTCAGTAACCTGGAATAGAGACTGATATATGAATGCCAAGAGGGAGTGAAACCGTCTGCATCTCTCCAATCCATCTCCAATCTCCAATCCACCTCTTATTTCAAAGATGGATGGATCTTTAGTAAGTCGGTGTTAAATATTGTATTCTCTCATTTTCATTGCACCTGATCCAATCAGCACCAACCCTTGCCAAAGTAAATATTGTCGCTCCATGAACAAAGAGTGCTGTTAACAGATATGCAGTGACCAGAAAATAATATGGGATCACGATGAATATTTTACTGAGGGATCTTTCTCCCATA